TCTGTGAATGAAAGTGGTGGTGTTGGGTGTCGGTCGCTCACCCTTTTGCTGTCAGTTTTTAACTGCGGCGACCAGTCCAGACCAAACCCAAACTTTGATTCTTTGAGAGTATGTGAGTGGGAGTTTGATTGTCTTGTCAGTTTTTACTGAGACGACCAACCAAAGGAAACCAAACCCTAACTCTTTACTCACCACTCCACCCCCCTTGCCCTTTCACTCTCTCTCTCTCTCTCTCTCTCTGACAGTTCCTCTAATGCCCCAATCACTTTTGGCAAGTAAAAACTCTCTCTCTCTCTCTCTCTCTCTCTCTCTCTCTCTCTCGCTCTCTCTCTCTCTCTCTATGAATTATATGGTACCGACGAATATGCACAAGCGTTGCGTATATGCGCAAGAAAGGCTTGTCGTAGGACTAAAAGATTCGAGTTTTATTGTTGGAACTCGAGAGAAAGATAGTAGAGTTACTAATTTTCGCATTCGTCGAAGGACAAAATATTTGTTAAAGTAAATAATCGATGATGTTGCCAGGGACATAAAAATCGGGATCTCTTGAACGTAGTAGGTTCTCTTCGTCTTGTATAATAACGTGTGTATATATTTTAGACAAATTATGTTCGCAAGTCTGGTAGAAGTCTTTTATTAAGCATATTTAATAAGAGAGAGGCTGATTTAAGATCAAGACATAGGGCCAGAAAAGTCAATACCATGAAAATTGAAATATTTCTGATGAATCTTTAGAGGATTGCCGAAAAAGTTTAATTTGATCTGTTGGAAAAGTCAAAGACGTAAGATTTGGTTTGTTGTCTTCATGATTTGTAGTTTATCTACTTTTTTTTCTTAATAATCTAGGGATATTGATTTTGACTTAGAGCAGTTTGCATATAATTAGGAGATATGACCTCCAATTCCTAAGGTGGAAATTCTTTAACGCCCTAACCAACTCCACCAACCATAGAAGTTGCGAATTATGAACAAATTCCACTTAAGATGAATAAATGTTGAGGCTACGATGAGCCTACTTGGAAATAGGTCTCCAATGAATTGAAATTTTTACATTTTTGTTAAATTACTTTTGGCCTTAAAAATAAGTCTTTGTCCCACTAAATTTCTCAAAAAACAAAATACAGCTAAGGAAAAAGTAAATATTGTCATTTTCATTTGCCCCACGAATTAATAAAACTAATTAAAAAAAATTGAATTGTGAAAATTTATAGTTGTTATAGACAACCTCGTATAATGTTAATTTTTATCATATGGACAATATATTAATAATTGATAGAATGATTGATCAAATTTTGCCTCCACTAGAACAACATTCTTAGGCTCTTTTTTTTTTATTCGAAAAACCTAGGTTTTTGTCTGTTTTCTGGAAAATATTTTCCTAAAAGTGATTTCTTGTATCGCTTGAAATAACTAGTCAATGAAAATATTTTCATTATTGACATCAATTTATGTCTAAACATTTTTGTGAACGATGAAAAAAAATTTCGTTGATTCATTTTTGCATAGATATAAACGATCATTTTCAGAAAAATATTATTTTCTTAATAATTCATTTTTTGCAAAACAAACGCAAGTTTAGTGTACCCTTGACGCCAAAAGTCGGATACATCAAGTTTGCTTGGTTCTATATGCATCATGTGTATCTTTGGTTTGGTTGTGCCTATCCCTATTTCACATAAATCATTGGCAAGCTACGAGGGAGAAGAACAAGGAAAACAAAAATAAAAGAAATTCCAACATGCCTTCTCATAGGGAATTGATCCGGAGAAGACCTGGAATTCCTGCAAATGTCGAAATGCATATATTTCAAGAATCTAAGGGGCAACCCTAAGAGTGTCTGGTGAAAGCATTCATGCATGCACCAGCTGATAAATCCCAATATATTTAATTTCTATACACAGCAGGAAAAACTGTAATTAATAGGGTTTTTAGTTGATTGCTGAGATCAACGCATCCTCAAAGGATGATATCATTCTAGGACCCATCTCAATGCACTGTCTTGTGTTGTCACTTCACTACTTTATTGGATTAAATGTCTTCTTTGGGATCCCGCAGTTTTTTTTTTTTGGTCAAAAGATCTCCCAGTTTCACCATGCATTAAAACGTTTTTTCGGGCTGTCCTAAAAAAAAACTGAATTTAGAAAAAAAGAAAAGCAATGATAGAGAAGGAAAAGGAGATGAAGAAACTTCACGATCAATTGGGTTTCAGCTAACAGAAGTAGGGGGGAGTTCATGAATGTGCAATTCCTCATGACGATTGCATTTTCCAGAGCAAACATGCATGAGCTATGATGCGTCGTGATCAGCCCTTGCACTTCATCGACGAATGCAACGTTTCAAAAAGGATGAGATGAGAAATTTTTCGCTGTTTTTCTAACTTTATGAGGCGAGGCAAATTGATTTTTGTGATTAGATGTTTGACAACGCTATATATGCGACTCCGGAAAATCAAAATGCGAAACCCTATCCGTAAGCTTCCCAAGCCTTCCGGCCTATTCTATTCTAGTTGTGGATTAGGCTATCTGGTCATGATGCACCCAAGAGGCAATGCTACCTTTATCGTATTAAGGAGGTAATAACGGAGGAAACTATGATTAATTATCTTTTATCATTATTGTTGAAACTGCAAATTATGATATCATTCACTCTACCTCTCTTCTTTCTTATCCAATTTCGATACATGAAGATGCCATATTTCCTCAGATTCTGTGAACTCAAGAGAGGAGACTGGAGTTCATGAATTCTACTGTATGGATTGCAGGTATCATCACTATGTGAGAGGGGACACAAATTAGTCACCTACTTCCCACCCACGAGATCCAATCAAACATGGTTGTTGCCAATCAGACTCAACTCGCTTTCCTTGATCCAATGCATTGTCCAATCCAATATAATGAATGAAGTAGATGGTAGTACCTTTCCTTGAGGCTGTACTGCAATGAATTTCGCAGGATTTTAAATGGGTCACCAGAGAATTTTTGACAAGCAGGTGGGATTATAAATTTCCCTAGAAACCCTAGTTTATACTTCTTTTTCTCTTCTGGGCTTGCACAACCCCCCAAGTCTAATCAGGATAATTAATCCAAAACGCGCTTATCTAATCGAACAGAATTCTCAGTCCTTGTCCAACTGTGTTACTTGACATAAAAGTATTCAGAAAAGAACAGCATTTACAAGGCGATGGTGGAGGCGACCTGCTAATGAAGGGATTCACCCGAGTGATGACCACCTAAGATTCCACACGAAACCGTCATTAAGAATTACGCAGGAGATAAAACGCGACAAAGGTGGAAACATAATGGTTAACTGTCTTATCTAAAGCCTAGGAAATATAGTTGTTATTGTAAACCCTAACTAGTAAAAAAGTCTACACCAAACAACTCTCTTTGCTAATCAAAAGGAGGGAGAGGACTGACCCAACTGTCAAAGTGAGGACAAAAGGGGTATGTGGGTATGGCTAAACTATAAGTTTAATCGGAGGTGAGCAGAGAATCTAAGGCTATTGTTAAGAAGGCAATATTATATGATTAATTCACGATTGAAGTAAGAATTTTCCTATGTGCCAAGGTGCCATTAAGTGTGGACAATTAAGTTGCCTTTCGGATCTTGTGTCACTCCATATTTATATTAGGAACGTCAGTTCTTGACCATCTCGCACTGATTGTATTTTTTTTTATGCATCACAATTATCAATTACCAAAATATTGTTCGGCACAAGTTAACATATCCCCAAATCTGAGATCCGATAAGACTCGGAGGGAGGACAACATCGTTAGTTATTTACTCTACACTGCGATTAAGGTCTTTATCTATTACTATCAAAAATATTTTTATGAATTAATCGAGTGTACAGATAGTCTCGCGAGTATATGAGATTAATATCTCGGTTTCGTGAATCTTACGGGACGACGAAATGTGTGGCACAAAAACAAGAGCACGAATCTAATATGATTAGGATGGTTGAGACCCCATGATCAACATTAGTTTAACAAAATTAATTTTTTCGACCAAGGATGGTTGAGACCCCATGATCAACATTAGTTTAACAAAATTAATTTTTTCGACCAAGGAAAAAAAAGACATTAATTTTTTACTCTCCTCCTCCTCCTCCTCCTCCTCCTCCCGTACCTTTGAACGGGGGAGAAGCTAAGGGAGGAAAACCAAGGGAAGGAATTCGATGACGTGGCGGGGTTTGACTGGTCAGACCGGTTAGCGGGAGCGCTTTCACTGCGCTCCTGCGAGTGCTGTTCCACGAGCCACTACTAAGGACCCCACCTTGTCTTGTCCCCCCAACCCCATTGGACGGTCCCCCGCACGCGCCGTCCGGTCGCGTGACGACCTCCAACAGCGTTTCCCGCCAGTCGGAAGGCCCCTCCTCCGAAATTACACCTCGTGCTCCCCGGTCAAACCTGCGGTCTTCCCCCTCGCCCTCGCCCTCGCCCTCGCCCCATAATAAGAAAACACACCCCCCCCCAAAAAAAAAAATCCGAAATTCGCATTTATTGATGTACCCAAATGAAGGGTCGGATCATCGAAGCGTCTTCAATTGGAACCGTAATTTTTTCATGAAGTAAAAACTATGTTTAATTTAAGAGAATTCGATTTCGTTGCGTACTGATGCGTGAGCAGTCTGTACGGTGAAAATCCTAAATATTTCTTTAATTAATTATTTAGTAAGCTCTCTCTCTCAGAAAAACAAAAATGCATCGAGTTATTCGCGGTGCGCTGCATCCGTCGCGTAAATCGGTATCCTAAAATTCCCTTACGGCATTTAATGCGTATCCCAGAAGTTCGCCGTCAGCGATAACCCTCTGAAATTACCGGGGCGCTCCCGACCCGATTCAAGCTGCCCCGATTTAGGGGCATCGGACGGGTCTCCACTTGATCGGACCGCGCGACCGGGTGCCGTTTGTTTACCTTATAAAGATAATGCAAAATCCGAGACATAAATTCGGTGTGGCATCATCCAAAACCAAGCACAAGCCACAATAGAGTGTGACTTGACTTCTTGCCGAGGAGGAGTGCACACAAGCACGCATCTCTCGCGCGCGCGCACCAACCACTCCAGTCACGACAATCGATTCCGTGCGCGCGGTGGAACTGATGGAGAAACCCATGCCCGACCTCTGAATTTTCGCCTCCGCGATCTCTCTTGTTTCGTCGCTGAATCCCCGCGCGCGCGCGAACCCATCTCCATCTCCATCTCCATCTCCCTCTCGTCGATGGTGGTTTCGCCGGGGAGTTGAAAGGAAGATCCTTTTTCGTGTTCTTTTCCCCCCAGTAGATGACTCGCTGCGCCGACGGGGAATGATGGACGACTCTCTCTCTAGCTTCCTGTGCCAGGAGAGCGAGGCCTGCTTGGACGATGGTGGGCCCGTGGAGGAAGACGAGGAGGCGTTCATTGACCCCAGCGATCGTGACGACGGCTCCGGCGACTGTTGTTTGGACGATGAGGAGTACCTGCAAATGCTGTTCGATAGGGAGACCGGTTCTGGGTTCAAGAGGGACGAGGGTGTTGATCCGGGGAAGCGGGTTTGGCCGGCTCGCTTCGAGGCGGTCTCGTGGATTCTCAAAGTCGGTTCTCGTCCAACCCCATCTGTCCATTTCGTTTGAAAAACTCCACGATTGATTGGGAATGTGTGGAGATGTAGGATTGAGACTGATTGGTTTTATGGCTCTTTTAATTTTTTTTGCTTTCTTGTTTGGTTGTTCGAATCCAGACTAGAGAAGCGTTTGGATTTCGCTTCCAGACGGCGTATCTGGCCATGACGTACTTCGATCGGTTCCTTTCTAGGCGGTGTATCGATGTAAGTCTAGTCTAGTGGAGTTCAAATTTATGGTGGTGACTTCTTTCAATGTCAATGATGACTGGAGCTTCATTAAAGGCACGATCGTTAAGGTGTTTGTGACAATGTTGTATGTTGTTGTTTGATGGTGTTGTAGAGTGAGAAATCATGGGCAATTAGATTGCTGTCCGTGGCATGCCTCTCTCTGGCCGCGAAGATGGAGGAGCTGAGTGTTCCGCTGCTGTCGGAGTACGAGACAGAGGATTACTACTTCCAAAGCAAGGTGATTCAGAGGATGGAGCTTCTGGTGCTGAACACATTGGAGTGGAGGATGGGCTCGATCACGCCTTTCGCGTACCTACATCACTTCGTGGCAAGATTTCCCAAGGAGCTTCCACAGAGCACGGTCGCGTCCAAAAGTGTCAATCTCATCTTGGGCATCATGAAAGGTAAGATCTTGAATGATTTTCGATATGTATCTGAAGAAAGTTGGATTGTCTTGTTGTTGCTGTTTGATTGGTGAATTGAAGTTTCTGTTCCATTGCAGAGATCAACCTGGTTGATCACAGGCCATCTTCTATAGCAGCCGCCGCCACATTGGCTGCGTTAGACGATTCATTAACAAGAAATGCACTGGAGTGTAAAATAAGCGGCAACTATTCTTTCCATCAAAGCCTGGACATTGTGAGTTGTGCTGAGAATATCAAGAAATCATTCATTATGTTCATTTTCTCTCATCAATCAAAGTAGCTTGTGCCATTCCTTTTGTCTTGAAAAGTTCCAACCTGTTGATGTCCTAGATTTTTTCTTTCACCCCTCCACAGGATGCTGTGTTCTCATGTTACATTCAAATGAGGAGTTTGGACAAGGAGATGCTTCCAATGGCCAAGTCTTTGTCCTGGCCAGAGCTAACCACCAGCCATTTGAGGCCACTAGACTTTTCTGAGATTTCTTCTGTTACTACTGCTATTAGCACCAAAAGGAGAAAGTCTCCATCCAATGATCACGATCAAGCTCCTGGTGCTCCGGATGATAAGCGGCGCTGCTAACGAATCGAAACCTTCGAGAGAGACGGGAGGAACTCGGAGTTGATCAACGGTCATCTCAGACGACACATCAAAAAAAGAATAACGAGAATAGAATATAATTTAGAAAGCATAAAGGGAGCATCAAAAGCAAGCTTTGGGGCTTCATCCGAAAGCTGATTTTTTTCATTTTAAGGGAAAGCCACACACAACATTGGGGGAAAAAGGTCCAGAATCTCCAGATAGAGGGGGTCTTGAAAGCTGCTTCTGAGTGGGGTCAATGCCTAATTTCGCTCGGGTCACCTTCATTGATTTTGATTTTTTTGATGATGTTTTTGCTTTCTCTTTATTCTGGCCTGACCTTTCCTGAATTCTTATTTATTTGTTTATTTATTTATTTTGGGGTCCTTAGAATAAGATGTCTAGAACAAGCAACCCTGGCTTTTGATTTGGGATTTGCTTTGTTGTTTGCTGCCCGTGTTTTTAGGTTTGATTTGATGCATCGAGTGTTGGAAGTTGGCCAACCAGCCAAAGAAAAGAGGGGAGAGAGAGAGAGAGAGAGAGAGAGGTGTAAGGAAAGAAAAGGGGAAGTGAATGTGATTGGGTTTGTTTGAATGTTTTGGGGATACCTTTCAACTGTAGGGGCCCTTTGTCCTCTTCCTGCGGAACTTGCCTGTTTTCAGGGGATCATGGTTCATCAAAGTCATTGTTTGTTGATTTGAAGGGTACTTCCCATGTTGATGGTACTTTTTGATTGGACTCATTCGTTGTTCAATATGTGGGGCTTTTCTCTACCCTTTGCTTTTACAAGAACTCTTGAAGAAAAGAGAGAGAGAAACAATCTCAAATGAAGAGAGAGAGAGAGACAGAGAGCTAGAGGGAGGTGGATTGAAAGATTTGAAGCTCTTCATCTTTGTCGAGTAGGAACTTCGCGATTTCTTTTCTACAGAGTCGGCCATTCTCTTATCTGTCGAGAAAACGATACGGCGCGCGATCATCCCGGGTGAAATCTCAAATCGCAAGAAGCAGGCTATCTCACTTGCTAGACAAAGAGAGAGAGAGTGGAATTCCCTTCCCCAGTCTAATCTAATTTCCACTTGAAGTGGTCTTGATACCTGATAAGTGCTCTAGGTTGGAAAATCGACCATTTAGTGTTTCCGAAACAGTAAACATAATTTCTAGCTAAGCAGTATTCTCTCGTTCAAAACAACTTGAGAGCATTACTAATCTTCATATGATCGGGAATGATGTCGTCGAGTTTCAGTAGATACGGGCCGAGCGAGCAACGCGTGCTCTAGGAATTTCTTACTCGTCTGATCTTTCACTAAATCGATAGGTCGGAGCAATACTTGAATCGTCTCGGTCGCTAGTTAATGCGTCACTGAGGCGGCAGTGGAAAGAAGGATGTTTTACTCGCTTTGGGAACTCAATTTCCTCCCTCGATAGGAGGTTTGGGAAGGGAGGATTAGGAAGGTCCTATGATATGCAAGTGATCGGGGTTCGACTCGGTCGTTCGCTAATTTTATGGCCATGGACAGACAAACCCCTTCCGCATGAAAATGTGCAATGCCCGTAACTGGCCATGAGGTAAGGGCTATCTCTAGTTTGCAATTTATTGGATTCTGCTGGTTCGAGACGCATCAATTTGCTTAGCGTGTGTTTGGTGCAGCTTTTGCACGGTTTCTAGAGTTGTGAATTACAACGCCGTTGGCCTTTAAAGCGGTTCGATGAAGAACTTCAGCCGCGGCTTTTTTCGAACGTAGCTCCAGTAATTTCGACAAAGCCGCTTCTAGAAATTTCGAGGTGTTGTAAATTTCAAATCTTTTAAGCGAGAGTTATCGCAATTTTTCTAGAAATTTGGAATAATAAATAATAACATTACCATGATGATTTTTTAGAAAATAAAAATGGAAAGCATAATAATTATGATAGAATAATTATAATGATTACATTAATATTGATCCCAATAAGTATAACAAATATTATTATTTCTATCAAATATTTATGTTAAAATTATGATTTTATTTGTAAGGACATATAGCTGTTATAGTCATCATTATAAGTTTACTCTAATAAATAGAAAAATAAGGCCATATTATTATTATTATTATTAGTCAAGGATAATGACATAAATGGTCCATGAACTTTTAATTTGTTCAATATGGTCTCTAAACTTTTAGTACATGTTTAATTTAGTCCATGAACAATACAAAAACGATCAGTGTTGTCCTTTCTTAATTCAAGTTCAAGGACAACATCGAACATTTTCATATAGTTTAGGTACTAAATTGAATTTGTACCAAAAGTCTAGAGACTACATTCAACAATTCAAAATTTTGGGGATCACATTGAACCAATCAAAAGTATAGCAAAAAACTATAATGATAAGGAAAAAAATACAATAATCTTAAGAGTATTTTTTTTTTCCGTCGTTCTGATAGCCACAATGATCTCGCAGCAGCATTTGCCAAGCGCATTAATCCATTATAGTCACAACACAACACGTCTAAAAGAAGTGTTGCAAAACGCATACCAAACAGGTTGTCATATTCAAAAATCGTTGTATGACGTCAGGCAGACTGTCCAACCAATTTGCATTGATGTACTAGAGCTCTAGCCAGTCATGGGGTGTAATGTTATTAGAGGATGCTGCTTATATTGTAACGACATAACTCTCGAAACAAAACTTAGAATAAATTTTCAATGTACAGACGAAAGCCCTAGATTGTCTATCTCTTCTACAATAATTAGGACGAAACGGGACACCCAAGATCAGGTAGATTTATACATTGCAAGATGGATACTTGATTGATGCAGTGGGCTATGAAATTCAGCAATGTTTGACTAGGGGCCACAAAAGGGGACAAGAACTGTGCAGTCAAAAGACTAAACTGGCAAGACCAAGTACTTTAGGTACTCCCCTGGCATTTTCACTCGTAACAACTAACCATCCCTTTCATTCACAGTTGGCAATTTGTACTAGGAGGGGATATGTAGCTTTGCACATATCTTAGCTACCCTCTCTGACTTTCAATCTTCCTAGGGGCTTGTCATCCATTGGTGTCTCTGCAACTGGTGATGCAGTGGTCATGTGGGAAGAACAATTGGAGGAGCTCCAGGAAATTTCTTCGACTGAGGATACATGTTGTCAATGTCAACAAGTTTCACTGAAAAGGGAGTACTATAGTTTTGTCATGAGTGAAGAAGTAAGCATCCACCCACTTACTACAGCAAGTACAGTTACAATTGCCGAATTTTCAGGATCCGAGTCTATCTGTTAATTTTTTTTAGGATGATGTTGACTGACATATATCGTCGGCAGCTAGTCATTTTATGGATTAGCCTAGACTTTCTCTGTGCTTTGACTGGTTGTGGAGAAGGAACCGGCTAAGAAAACTTCACAAGGAACAAGGCACTGTAGAAGCACGTTTCCCTTGACTAAAAACTACAAATCTGCTTGTCTTGTTTTTGTCCCTTCCCAACAGCCATTGGTGTCATGCATCTATCACCTTAAGCCTGTACAAAACGCATGTTTCAGCTTCACTTAATCATAAATACTTAAGACTTAGGCATTGCAAAACACTCCGAAGAGTCGAATTAGAGTTCTTTCCCATTGGAGAGATACAAGTTCAATTCCCTAGGTCCTTCCCAATGTCTGCAAACAATGCATTATGTTTGTGCTTTGTTATAGACAGAATGGTGCAATATCAAAGTGTTGATTGCTATGTCGTTCGACATAACTAAGTAACTCCTAACGAGAATACAACAGAATAGGATGATTCATATAGAGGGTCAAGTTCAGTCGCAAAAACTAAAAGTACAGTACAAAAAATACTGTCATTCATGAAAGTCAGAAATCGAATATCAAAACTCACAGTTATTCAGCAACTTGAGACCTAAATTCTGGTGGCTTTGGAAACTTTACAGTACCAAAAAGTGTCAGGTCCCACAAAGTTACAGATCGATGACCAGGAAAGGAAGAATGAACGCAAAAATAAAGGGATAAAAACTAAGGTCCTAGCTTTAGCCTGAAACTAATACCCAAATTCATTGTTGAAAAATTACGCAAGGTTAGATTCTTCTACCTACATTATCCTGATCCCACAGGGATCATTTTCAAAGCAGCTGCAATTGGCATGCCCAGAAACCCAAGTAAAATGCTGACAAACCACTGCTGCAAGCTCAGAGGATATGTGTTTGCAAATGTTCCCAGGAATTCGATGATTATGATTTGGAAGATGACAGTGCAAGTGAGCACGGCCACAAATACGTAATTTTTCAGTATTCCCTTGAACACGTTTATCTTCTCCATCTCCCTGGAGCTGATTTCATTGAAAACCTGTGATCAATGTAATGCATGTAGTGTAAGCCCACAGGATTGGAGAAGTCAAAAGCAACTGTTAAAGAATCATATACTAGCCCCATTCATGTCAATTAACACAATTTCCACCACCTGACTTCCCTAGCAAGAAACAGCTCAAACTACCATGTAATGAACAGCACACTTTTGAGTTCTTTATTATAGGCAAAAAAACAGCATGCCTAGTTCATGATGTGAGTCGACGACTTCTGGAGAAAATTCAGATGAATGCATCTCCCCTATGAAAGCTAATGCAATTTGTCATATTACAAAAAAAAAAAATTGATGAGCAAATGCCTAATTCCATAATTGTGTGAACATGCGAAACCATGGTTAATTATGACAACCGAGAGAAAAATTCACTGCAGCCACTTCTAGCATCTTCTTATTTTTTTTTTCCATTTTCCAGATACACTGGAGTCTCGACTCAAAGTCAGAAGTTTGGTAGTTGAATTAAAAGATCACTTATAATGCACTGTAAAAATAAAGTGAAAAAAAAAGCATGCTATTGTTGGAGCGTCAATTAGCTTGGCGACTTTAAAATTTACCTGGCAAAAGACAAACGAGTTAAAGATGATGGTGTTCAATATCAAGTTAGAGTCTGGACCCGTGAGATGGAAAGCTTCTTTTCCTTTCGTTTGAAGATACCATATGATGACAAATTGATACAAGGACTGCCCCAAGATATTCCTCCACATCACATTACTGATAAAATTCCCTTTCCTACCGACAGGTGGCCTCTTCATCAAGTCATCAGTAGGAGGTTCTGTTGCTAAAGCAAGGGCTCCCAGAGTGTCCATAATCATGTTGACCCACAGAAGCTGTACAGCAGTCAAGGGAGCACTCCCTACAGATACATTTTTCAATCATTAGCAAGTAGGATGAACAAAATCTCAGCATAAAAGTAAACAAAAAAAATACCTAGGAGATTGAGAATGTATCCAATTACCAGTTAAACATGCTGAGGAGAAGTTAACGATCAAGGCAACTACATTGACTGTCAGCTGAAACTGGACAAACTTCTGAATGTTTATATAGACCGAACGGCCCCATTTAGCCACTGTTGCAATTGTGGAGAAATTATCATCTAGAATGATCACATCAGCACTCTCCTTTGCAACCTGAGATTAGAAAAAAACTTTAAATACCAGAGCACTTGAGATATGTAGTAATAAGCATCATGACAAGATGATGACAACTGGCGACTGAGACTAGACTGGTCATCATTTTACTAGGACATTCAACAACAACATAATGAAGCTGAAGCCAGAGGGGTCTGAATACACTGTTTAAGGGTACATTGAGCCTCTGATTACAACATAAATAATACGAACTCTCCATCTTGCCTAGTGCAGGGAAATGAAATAAGTGTT